AGTTTTAATGTTTTCATATTCTTCTTGGATTCCCATTCTCTTGGTATGTTGTGAAATGTTAATTTTCTTTGAGGTTGCCTTATAGTCCATTGACTTTTCTGTCCATTTAGTGCATTCTATTTTATCCAGTAATCGACCTGACCTTCTCACTGTCTGGATCTCTGTTCCTACATGTACACCTTTTGCATTATACTTGTTTTGGTCATAGACTGACCTCCCAGAGTCTCTGAGTTTGTTCTTATACTTTTATTTTGTTAAAAATTCTTCTTTCTGTTGACTGAATTCAGGGAGGTGCTGCCACGTACGTCAATCTCTGGTTGTTGTCTGTTCTTGTTGGTTCTCAATCCACAGAACTCCCTTTAGGATGTTTTGTAGCACAGGGTTGGCTTTGGTAAAGTCCCATAGCTTCTGTTTATCCTGCAATGTTTTGATTACACCATCATATTTGATTGATAGCTTTAACTCCTAGTTCTTCCATTTGCTTTAGCATGTCTACACTGAAGAGCAAGTTTCTGAGTCTCTGTCACATGCATTTTGAGAGCTTCCTTCTTTCTTGCTGTCTTAGTGACCTGTATATTGTTCTTGATGTCATCTCACAACTCTTCTGCTTTCCAGTCATCACTGTCTAATACATCAAATCTGTTCTTAAGATATCTCATAATTCAAGAAGTATATGTTCAAGGTCATAATTTGGCTCTCTTGAAATTGTGTTAATTTTCTTTATCTTCTGTTTGAACTTGTATTTGAGCAGCTGATGGCTGTTCCTGGCCATGTTTTGGCTGATATGGTGATTTTCCATCATCTCTTTCCATGTTGTTGTTGTTAAGTGCCATAGATTCTGTTCTGACACATAGTGGCCCTGTATAGGGTCTGCAAGGAGGTGCTAGTGAGCTTGAACCACGGACCTTGCAGTTCTAACGGCTTTACAGTCAGGCATATTAACCCATAGTGCCACAACAGGACTCTGCATAGATATAGCCAATTTGTCTTTTGTGTATTCCATCAGGTGACATGTATAGTCATCTTTTATTGTATAAAAAAGGTATTTGCCACAAAGAATTCACTGAAAATTCTATCATGCAATCTTCAGCATCACTTCTATCACAAAGGCCATATTTCCCAACTATTGATCATTCCTCTTTGTTTCCTACATTTGCATTTCAATTGCCTGACACACTCTTCTGATTATAATCCACTCAGTAATCCTTGTTTTGTTCAAATGACTGCCTCTTGGTCAATGCACAAGTTCCTTATGAGCACAATTAAGTGTTCTGGAATTTCCATTTTTCATAATATTATCCATAGCTTTTTATGATCCAGTTGAATGCATTTGCATCATCAATAAAGCATTTGACTGCTATCCAAAAAGCCTGTGGTTCAAACCCACCAGCCACTCCTTGGAGACCCTGTATAGAGTCAATGAGTCGGTATTGACTCCAAGGCACTTAACAAAACAACAACCTGTTAATGTTTTACTGCAACCATTTTTAAATTATTTTCACCACAATATTACTTGCATGTGATATGAATAATATTGTGATTTCTGCATTTCCTTAGAATGGTTCAAATATGGATCTCTTCTAATCAGTTGGCCTGTTTGGTGTCTTCCAAATTTCTTAGCATAGACTATTGTGCATCTCCAGTACTGCATCAGTCTGTTGAAACATTTCAATTGGTACTTTTTCAATTCCTGAAGCCTTGTTTTTCACAATTGCCTTCAGTGCAGCTGACACCACCATTTTTCTTGATCAATGTACCTCTTGACATGCTTAAAAATCAATGAATTATTTATGGTATAGTGTCTCTCTACCAATATTTTGTCCATAGAATCCTTCAATACTGCAACTTGAGGAATGATGTTTTCTCTTGAGTCCTTTTAATTTGAGAAACACTGAGCATGTTTTTCCATTTTGATCTTGACTCTAGGTCTATACTTTCATTATAATACTTGACTTTGTCTTTTTGAGCTGCTCTAAGAAACCTTCTGTTCAGCTGTTTTACTTCATTTCTTTTACTTGGTTTAGCTTCTGTATGTTCAAGAGCAAGTTTTAGAGACTTCTGACTTCGTTTTGTCTTTTTAATGACTTTTTGTTTTCCTCATGTAAGATGTTCTTGATGTCATCTCACAACTTCTCTTCCACCATTAGTATCAGCACTGAACTGCGAACCACAAAGTCCTCAGTTCAAACCCACCAGATGCTTCTCAGAAATCCTGTACAGGATTGCTAAGAGTTGGAACCTATTCGGTGGCACTTAACAACAGAGAGCACTTAGGTAGCCATTGTGTATTTTCTGATGCTGTAATTCTGATGATGATATCATTGGCACTGAACATGTTAACAACTAGCCCTCGTGGCTAAATGGCTAAGTACTAGGTTACAAACCCAAAGGTCAGTCTTTCAAACCCATCAGTCACTGCATAACCCAATCAGTCACTCCATAACAGAAAGATGTGACAGTTTACTTTCATAAAGGAGCTCTGGTAGCATACTGGTTACAAATTGGGCTGTGATCTGCAAGGTCAGAAGTTCAAAACTACCAGCTGTTCCATGGGAGAAAGTTGAGGCTTTCTCTTCCCATAAAGATTTACAGTCTAGGAAACCCTATACAGGGTAGCTATGCGTCAGAACTGACTTCACAGCACTAAACAACAAAAACAACAACCCCACCTCTGGTCTATATAAAGAGTGTTCCACCCTCCGCCCCCAACCAATTCTCTGACTTTCTTTATCTCCTCCTCTCCCTCCATTTCCTTTCTTCTTTCAATAAACAAAGATTCTGAAGAGGGGGTTCAATTTTCCTTCAGCTTCATTCCTAACTTAATGCACCATTCTAATCCTTCCTATGCAAACTGAAATGAGTGGACCAAGACGTTCTGTCCTGCTGGGACTGGTGCTCTTGCTGGTGTCCATGGGACCATGCCGAGGGAGTATCGAATCTCTGGAACTCACAGACAGACAGGTTATTTTAAGCTTACTCTTGGACCTTTTTCAGGGAGTTAAAAGCTCCAACTTGGAGGACTCCAAAAGTCTGGAGTTATTCAGTGAACATGACTCTACTTTGGATGAGATTGAAGTCACTGACTACATAGATAATCCTGAGCGGCTAAGAGCTGGTAAGTCATCTCCTTTATATTATTTATCTCAATAAGTCATACACACACAGAACACATGCACACACACATTTCACATTCTCACTTACACAGAGACACTGACACATATAATCATGGACTACTTTTTAGCAACTTCAATCTTGAGTATTTTTATTTAACTTGAATATAAAGGAAAACACTAGAATTTGTACTTGGTTGAAAGTGGAAGTGCCTTTTAAAAAACATGTTTTAAAAAGATGTTAATCCTGATTGAAAAAAAAAAAAACTTCTAAAAGAAATATAAAATAGTATGAGGTTTATGCACACATAATCATAAATTACCCATTTCTTAGATGTCTGATTTGTTACCAAAGTCAGTAATTTCTGAATAGAACTGTCATCTGTTATTTTGGAAATGGGAATATTTTCAGCAAAGCAGTTCCAACTGAAAAAATGGTTTCAGAGTGACGGTCGCATGGGAAATTTCTGAAGGAAGCATGTAAGCTTTAATGCTTTTCATGACACAATTAGGTCAAGTATGATAAGGTCAATTTTATACAGACTGACTAAAGTTAGGAGTAAATGAAGACTGATATCAGGGAGATGTCTAAACCTTGCAAGTGAGTACATATTAATGGAAGTGTTCTTTCAGATGGTATTTGGAAAGGAGCTAAGGAGTATTCGTGTAAAATAAAATTTGACATCACATACAATCAACAGTAAGTTATTAACACAAGATGATATATGAAAATGATTAAAGATGACTATAGTAAACAAAGACTGAAATCAGAAAAAGATCAGAAAACTCATGCTATTAAACAAGTGTAAAACAAGAAATGTTGTAAAAGAAGAAGTTGCTTGAAAGAGTTTTCCTTGACAATTTTGTTTATCTTGTATACAAGGCTAATGTGTATTTCTGTTTATTTACACAGGCCTTCTCAATAGGTGGTTTTTAGTTCAATTTAACCTTTATCTAATATATACCAGGAAAGGTAAATCCTATAATATATTTATTGTTTGAAGGGTCAGATTTTCCTCCCAGAACTTTTAGAAGCATGGCATTTGATTTCTAAGGTCTGAAAAATAAAAGTGTCTAGAAGTGATTTACTGACTGGAAGCTCACTGTCAAAGCATAAACTTCCCCAAAAGCTTTACGATTCCTGTCTGTATTATGGTGATAGGGATAGGAAAGATAACATTGGAGCTTTATGCTCCCATGAATTAATCGGAAGAAAAATATGCACCTGAATACAAGTTTTCATACTGTCATGTATAACAATCAAATGTGGCTCAGATCTGTTTTATTTAACTAATAATCTGACTGATCCAGAATGTCTAGGAACTTTCTTCA